ATTATTTAATATCTGATTTATGTAAAGAAAAAACTTACATTTGTTTTTAAATGTAAGATTCTGATATATGCCACCCTTCGTTATAACAGTGTTCCAAAACTTGATTGTTTTCAATTGTAAAAAATTTTGTTATTAGATTTTATTATTTTTATCTTTGTTTTTATTGTTCCAAAATTGTATTAAATATTCGATCGATTTCCTCTCTGTGTTTGTAAAACTCAATTTATGTCATACACCTAAAAATCGCACGCAACACAATTTTATAGATGTCTTGTAAATAAATATGAAGCAATATGAATTTTTTCAGAAAACCTATATGTCCGAAATACAAATATTGATTGTAGAAATAATTGCTAAATTGTAGAGACAATTGCTAATAAACTTTCTCACGCCCCCACGTAACGATGCCTTGAAAATATTGCAAACATTTTAGCCGTTCTATATATTTAGCTGTTCTAAAACTATATGTTCTTGAATTGTTTCTTATACCGCGTGCTTGCTTCAAATATTGTACACATCCCTGATACTCAATTCTCAAATTCAAACTAAGTATATTGCGAGTGTATTAGGAGACAAAACGTTGACCAAGTATCGTATCGTATAGTAGGTACAGCCGGCTGTCAAACGCATCCTCGCAGTTGTTCCCGAAGTTTAGACCATTTGTTCGAGAAAAATTATACCCCTGCACCCCGCGTACCACGAGTGGTATAAGAGAGAAAGAGAGAGAGGGGGGGGGGGAGAGAGAGAGAAGGAGAGAGCTCGAAATTCGATACTGGGAGAACGGAGGGCGCGAGTATGACGGGAACGAGGTCTACGGCGAGACGGTGCCGGTGTGGTCCCAAAGATGCGCCCCATGAAAGGCGTTTTACGCGAGGAGTCGAGACGAGCAAACGTACGGGCAAGGTACCGTAAATGCATCGTGACATTAGAAGGAGAAGGAGGTAGCTGGAAGGGGGATGGCGAGAGCGAGAGAGAAGGAGAGGGAGAGAGGGCGAGAGCACGAAACGGGAACGATCAGGAAGCGCGAAGGCAAGGAGGTCGAGGAGCTTCTCTCGAATCGGAGCATCCGCCAATCGCCCACCTGATCCTCGAAACGCGCGAGCACTAAACTCGCCCACTCCCCGGGCTTTTGCGTTCCCATCTCCGTCCGGGATTTCACTGACAGGCCGTTACCACGTACCACGAATCGCCAACCTCGCTACCGAGTCACGGCCTTTACATCATCATTTATGAACGTTGACTGAACGACCATCGCCAACACAGATGGCAGATCTTCGAATCGCCCCCGATGGGAGGGGCACTTATGATGGGGGAAGCGAAGACGATCGAGTCTAGTCGGAGGTGTACGACGCTTCGCCAACGCACCAATTGTGCGCCATGTGTTCAGGAATGTAGCAACGAACCGAAGGATTCGGGTGTACTTCTTAGGGAAAAAATTTGTTTCTAAAATAAAAAAGAAAGAGGAGTAATTGAAAATTTTCGATTACGACGCAATTTTTAACGTCAATAATTTTCTATTCCATGTTACATTTTTCTTTTTTTTATGATCACTTGCTCATTCGATATGTTAAAACATACATCCTTTTTACTTATGAGTTTGCATTTGTTACGTTATATTAAATGTGCTGTTTTAAACGATAGACATTTACTATTCATTGGAAAAAAATGAATTAATGTTACATTTGATATTATATGCAACTAATCTATTGAGAGACTACAAGGGATGATAGCTTCGTACGTCCCTGGTTCGGTCAACGCTAGTGCACGATCACCCCACTCTGCAACCATGTCATTCATAACTGTGCAACACGGCCTTGTACCCAGGATAATTGCCCGTACGAAAATTCGATCACGTTAAGTGCGTATTGCAACGTGGACGTCCTTTATTCGTATGATCCACTTTATTGATCATAGGCACATCATAAAGTCATAATCTCTGCAATTAATCTTCATCAAATTTATGCATAATTATATTTTTAAAAATTAACGTTTCATAAATTGTTGTTTATTTTTATAAATATTTATTAAGAAATAATATAACGTGTTATGTAACAAAATCTAAAAGACTTAAGGGGTAACGCCACTCTAGAGCTCGAAAAAAAAGACATGTTTTTGATAATTTTTTACGGAGATACAATAAAGGAAATGGAAAATCTGTTTATAGGAGTGTATTATACATGTTCTGAAGCAAATAAAAAAATTTTTTAATTAACATTTTTAAACAAAATGGCGGCTACATAATACGAAACTCGAGACCACCTCTCGCTGAAAGGGCTTCACGGCCGGAAAAGTTTCTCTCACAATTTTCAATCCGGAACAAAAAACCAAAATTTTTTGTAAACTATATATAATTGGCTACAGAAGTACGTAGGGGATTTTGAAAATATTGAATTTTAAAAAAATGCTTATTTGAAGAAAAAATTCATTTTTCAGTAAAAAATTTCATCGTAAATTGTTTATAACAAAAAAAGTTGACAAGATATCAAAAAGCTCCTACGTACTTCTGTGTAAAATCTAATTACAAAGCTACTGTTAAAATTTGAATTAAATCGTTCAAAAATTGTTCGAGTTATGTTTCCGGCCAACTTGAAAAACATTGTTTCGAGAAAAACGCGTTTAAAGTTTTAAGTACTAAAATAGTATAAATTTTTTTTATATACCTCTAGTCGGCAATGCCTGCACCATACATTTCACCTTCCAAATTCTCCTACTCTGCGTCTTTTCTGACCGATTTTAACAATACCCTGGCCTCTTTTGCCTTCTGCCACGAGTATCACGAATCTTTTTTTATTAATCGAGCGAAGGCAGTTTCGGTTTCGAAATAAGTACTTAAAAATTTGATCGCACTACGGGGTCAAGTGTACATTATTTTTAAGACTCTAAGGCATCATTTAAACAAAAAAAAATTTTTTGATTATTTTGAAAATTCTGGAGTGGCGTTACCCCTTAAAAGGAATGCTGGAGTCGCCTGTATTACCGATAAAACTAGCGTTTTTGACATTTTCGTTCCTGTTTAATTTTTTATTCTTAATAGTTTCGCAGAATAAAAATATCAATAATGAAAACATCAAAAACGCTAATTTTATCAATACAGGCGGGTCCAGCATCACCTTAAATACATATAAGACAAAACATTCATCTCACTGCGTTTAATATCACAACAATCACTATATAACAATATGTGATCATAAGATAATCATCACTCAATAATCACACAATTTTAAAAGATTTTTTACGATCTTTCTTATCTTTATCTATTTAATATTTTCAGAATATTCTCTCTCTCTCTCTCTCTCTCTCTGACTCTAGCTTCACTTACTCTTTTAACATGAAACAAATGAGTGTTGACCTCTCTTTTACATGGAGAATTACTGTTACGTTAATAAGCGAAGTTATTCATGAAAACTGAAGTGAAAGACTTTTTCTTTATAATTAAGATTTTTTAAATATTAATTTAAATTCTCTTTAACAGAAGATTATATAATTCTCTTTATATTTTAAATATATAAACTACGTATATAGAAAAAGGGCAAAGATCCTGTAAAACAAATTTAAATGATGACAATCAAATAATACAAAAAAGTTTAATACAAATATAAATAATACAGACGTTTCGACTCCAATCGGGTCATTTTCAATGTTACAGTGTAATTAAAGTTATGTTCGCAAAAGAAGATTTTATAATATAAATACATAATTTTTCATCGTCTTCATTCATACGAACCTCTATTATACAGTGACAAATTATCTATGTTTAGAATTTAGAACCAAATTGTATCTTATACAACATTTAGAAAATCTGATACGTGTTTTAAAAAAAATGTTAACATTTAACAAAATTACCGAATTCCTTAAAAAAATAACAAGTATCATATCTCCGCCATAATGGCTTCGAATGTAAGCAAATATAAATATTAAAATTTATCTTTATGACAAACAGCAAATTGCTTACAATCTTTCATAAGACACAAATTACAAATTTATGCTATGTGCTATGCTCTTATTGAATATCTTGTTTCATAATTCTTATATTTAATGTAAGAAAGGAACATTAAAACCAGCTTCAGATTAACAATATACAATAGCATGCTAATTGTATATTTTAAAAATCAGCCTTTTGAAACACACAGCTAAATAATTATATTAAATCATATATTCATAATGCTACATGTAACATTTTTTTCATCTTTTTATCCATAAAAGTTTCTTATAAGTATCATTTCATTAAAAAAAATATTCGTAGTACAAGAGACTAATATAAATATAACTAATACGAATACGAAGCCTATAACAGTCTAGTTTGGATCTTTAATCGCTTACATATAAACTATCGCGGTACTATCACGAATTAAAATAAATTAATAATTAACTAATATACATAGTCCCCCAAAACTGCGCGTCGAACAATCGTCGGTTTTGAAACGCAACTCTAATATTATAATCTGAAAATACTAAATCTGGAAATAATTCTTCTTATTGCGAAAAATATTACCTCGGCTGGGAGTCGAACTCGGATACCTTGCTTTACGCGCACAAATGTCTTAGCCAATTAGACTACCGATAATAAATATAATTTCAACAATGACATCATATTATAGTTTAGAAACAAATTTGCACATTTCATGATATAAAAATTCCTATTTTTTTTGTGTCGTCTATAAATTTTAAAACTATAAAAGTTAAATAGAATTCTAAAAAATATATTGTGCACATAATTATATTATAATATATTACAACAAATATCTATGTGCACATAATTTTGTACATTATGCATACAGAAGTGATATTCAATTTAATATACGGACTGACGAATAATAATAGTAACAACTTTCTTGCGTTGTATGGAACACTACGTAGATATATTCACATAAGAATAGCATTCTTCATGATCGGTAAGCATATCGTCAATTAAGTTAACATTTCTTCTGTGCTAAATAGAGATTCTTTATCGTTAATATTAAATAATGTACAGTTATACTAGCATCGCTTTTCTTATATAATTATCTATTTGTAAAAAGAATATCTTCTTTCAGCAAAGAAATCACAGCATTAAAAATATCCACATCTCGTTGTCGATGCTTTGTGATGGAATGAACGCTTTTTGGGTCTAAATCGGAAACTCTGATGCTGCTTAAAAAATAATGTTGATCCGAAAGTTTTATAGTATTTTCCACAGGCATTCTTGATGCATGTTTTCTGTAAAAAGAAAAAAATTATAAATACAATAAATAGGTACAAGGCTAATAAGAGTTAAACATTTAAAATTAAAAATTGAATCATCACTAATATATTGACATAACTATATAAAGAAATATAAAAGAATTAACACAAAAATTAAACATTAATAAAATTATGTAAAGCGTTGAATAATATTACACAGGGTGTTCATTTGAAAACTTTCCAGCTGATTATCTCGAAAAATATAAAAATTTGTGTTTCGGCCTCGAGTTTTGGCCCTCCTCAGATGTACAGTATTTAAAATGCAGTAAAACATTATAACGAACTAAAGACGGTTTTTGTTAAGAATTAATAAAAATATAAAATTAATAGGAAAAATGAGTGATTATTCGGAGAAATGTGGATACTCTTCAAGCAATTGGATGATATCGATTGCGAAGATATCTCATGATTCTAAAAAAATAAATACTTATGTATTAATTAATGACAAGTATCTATATCTCTCCGAAAATGAAAAAATTATGGTAAAAATGTAGATTAGGGGAGCCTCCTCCAATGACCTTGACCTTGACATATGTTGTCAAGGTCATGATCCTGAGTGACCTTGAGGAAGTTTTAACCGTCGGACCTAACTCGTTAAAAAGTTATTAACAAAAAAAGTTTCAAAATTAACGTATTATTTCTGCTATACATGTATGATATGAAGTACTATTCTACACCTTTCCCTGTTCAGAAACGTTGAACTTTCCACGCGAAATAACTTTCACCCCCCCTCCCCCTGCACAGGGGCACACGACTTCTACGATTGTACTGTTGCTATGATAGTACTGTCGGGGCAGACCTCTGTGACGGTGTGGGTGCGGGGGGGTGGCCGAAGGCCACCTCCTTGCACCCGCCCGTGTGTGTGTGTGTGTGTGCCATTCGTTATATAACGATTATGAGTCTATTACTTGATATTTTACACACACACACACACACACACACACACACACGGGCGGGTGCAAGGAGGTGGCCTTCGGCCACCCCCCCGCACCCACACCGTCACAGAGGTCTGCCCCGACAGTACTATCATAGCAACAGTACAATCGTAGAAGTCGTGTGCCCCTGTGCAGGGGGGGGGGGTGAAAGTTATTTCGCGTGGAAAGTTTAACATTTCTGAACAGGGAAAGGTGTAGAATAGTGATTCATAAATGATAAGAAGTGTACCTCTTGTATTCATTTTGATTGCATTTATTCTTAGTCTGTTATATTGTGTGTGTGCATGCGTGTAAAAATAGTACGTGTTATAATGCATATATGGCAGAAATGATACATTAATACGTATAATTTTTCAGAAATGATACGTTAATTTTGAAACTTTTTTTATTAATAACTTTTTAACGAGTTAGGTCCGACGGTTAAAACTTCCTCAAGGTCACTCAGGGTAATGACCTTGACAACATATGTCAAGGTCAAGGTCATTGGGGGAGGCTCCCCTAATCTACATTTTTACCAAAATTATAATTACTTAAATATAATATATCTAATTATTTGAAATGTGTTTAATATGAAAGTAATAATCACGCGTTTTATATTTGCCCTTTAAATAATGATTTGTGCTGTACGTGAATTATGAATTATATGTTTTATGAATTAATTATAATTATGTATATTAAGTCCAAATCAAATAATTATAATCAAATAAAGTGTTTACTTATTTGCTATAGAGTTGTATTAGGTGACTACACAGTTTGACAATGGGTTTGACATTGTTTTTTGTTCCTGCACTGTCTGAACTAGTGCACACGGTGCAGTAAGTTGAAGTGAAACAAATATATATATATATATATATATGTTTGTTTCACCCATATATGTAATTTATATATATGGTTTCACCCATTGTCAAACTGTATAGTCACCCAATAAAACTCTATAGCAAATAAGTAGATACTTTATTTATTTGATTATGATTATTTGATTTGAACTTAATATACAAAATTATATAATTATAATTCATAAAACATATAATTTATAATTCACGTACAGCGCAAATCATTATTTACAGGGGTAGAAACAAAAAACAGACCTAATGACCATATAAGATTGTCGATTGACTATATAAGATTTATACTGGTCTCGGTGCTTTGAACATTACAGTAGTGAGAATACAAGTCATTGTTTTGAACAATAACTTACGGATGCAATTCGCGGAAGGTCATTAATATCGAACAATCTTTGGCGGTGACAAATAAAAGGTAATTTTGCAACGCTGCCAAATGTTTGGTGGTAATCTGCATATTTGCCTGTCGTTCATCATCGTTACTAGTGCTTTGATTATGTAGACTCTTGTTTCCATGAAATGGTTGATGCAAATCTTGGTTGGAACTAATTTCTGTTCGCGACACAGGACCATCGTTTATAAGTACTCTGTCGGTATTAGTAGATAAAAGACATTTTGAACTAGCATTACAATTTCCATGAAAATCGTCATCATGTTTTTGTGCAATAGCACTCGTAAGAAACGTTTGGAAGTCTATTTTCTCCATGGTTTCTATTTTCTGGATTGCATTCTGGAACAAAAAGAGATAAGTATTCTTTAATGCACATATATTCATGTATTTAACAAAAATTTCTTCTTTTGTATGTTTGTACATACATATATCGAAAAATACATACTGTAGGATTTCCGAGTAAAGCGTGAAAAACATTACAAGTTTTGTTTAATTTTGTCAAGTCAGAATATATCATATCATCATTTAGTAGCAATGCGAAATTGGAGTAAATGCTGTAAATATAATTGATATTGACGTAGGACAATCGCTGCATATTCCATATTCGTTCTAACACGGAGTTCTTTGGCAATTCACTGTGATCAAAATTACACCTCTGTAAGGGAAAAAAAAGGTAGAAATTAGTTAAAATGCAATGACACACATTACTTTCAATAAATGATAATTTTTAATCTAATTGTAAGTAGTAATGTATCTAATTGTAATCTACCTTTCCCACGAGGCGAAGGCACCGTTCGGCTTTCGCGATTGCGTCTGGCGTGGTGCAAAATGTTGGAATTTGATTCGCGGGTACGAGAAAATTATGTGAAAGGGAGGTGGCAGGCAGTTTTAGCTGCTCCCGGGCGATAGGCCGCATAAGGGCGGTGCAAACTAAATTGCAGAACTCGTCAACGTGGCAAGCTCGTCCGCCGCTCTCCGCATTCCGAAACCACTCGTCCAGCACGTTCTCGAGATCGTTCAGCGAGGATGTCTGACTGTAGGCGACGAGGCCGTTTTTAAAAATTTTCAAATTGTTCTGCGGCGATTTCAGAAGCTCCTTAATAGCGGCTTTGATGCGCACCTTCTTCCCGGAGAACAGATCAAACGGGCAGTAATTGCTGGGAGTTGCAATGTCTTTTTTCCTCAACTAAAAAATTGCTTAACTTTAGTATATTATCTTTAATATATGGTATATATTTTAAGTTTACTGATATTGTCATAATATTTCTATTGTATTTATCAGGAGATGCGGTGGTCTCCATGTTTAAAAAAACTACTAGTTAATTTTTTTTTTTAATTTAAAAGATTAATAATAGACACTATAAGTCTATTATCCCGAGCCACCAAAGTCCATTTTTGGAGGATACATAACTACTAAAGGCTTGTCTGTTGAGTCAACACATCAAAATTATTTAAAAATAGAACACTCCAATAGTAGGAGTGTTAAGTTTTTTTTGTTCAAGAGGATATTTTTGTTAAAGTAAATATTAAAAATGTGTTTTCCTCTATTACAGTTTGTATTTCGATGGTTAATTGAGTTTAGTTCCTGTTCGCAATTGGCACTACGGCCTTAGTATTATGTTGGTATGTTATGTATTCCCCCTCTCTCTACAACATGTTAGATTCCTTGCTGTAATTTTTGTCGTGACTCTTGCTGCACATAATAAAGGAAGAACTTCTTTTAATAAGCATATTGATGTTCTTTACACCTCTGATCCACATCAACATGGTAGCAGAGCGTGGTTAGTTATATGAATAAACGTTTTGTGTGTAATATATGCAAAAGAAATCGTTGTGGTATTTCGAAGAGGTTACTTGCTGGAAACTTACACAGAAAAGATGGAATTTCACGGAATTGAAAAGCTACGAGGTGCTGAGAATTGGAATACTTGGAAATTCACGGTAAAGAATATGTTACGGGGAACTGAAGGTGCCTATGAGGTATGTATCGGTGAAATTGAGAAACCGACACCGCCGGAAGCTGTTGCTATTGCAGAACAGCAAGCAGTATATCAATCTAACCTAAAAATCTGGGATAAAGCGGATCGTGCAGCAAGTCAGATTATTGTCAAGACTCTGGAAACTAAAGTGACCTCACTCATAGTTATGTGTGAGTGTGCAAGAGATATGTGGCTCAAGCTGCATGCAGTCTTCGAGCAACAAACTAAGCAAGCTGCTCATACAGTTCAAGCAGAATTCTTTAGCTTTAGTAAGAGTCAGACGGATGATATGGTAACGCATATTGCAAAATTTGAAGGTTTGATTTTGCGCATGCAACAACTAAATGTAAGGCCAGATGAATCGTCAGTAATGGTTAAGTTATTAGACTCTCTGCCAGATGATTATGAGAGCCTTCGGCAAGCGTGGTGGGCAAGACCGGAAAATCAGCAGACGCTTACAAACTTGACAGGAGTGTTGACATCTGATGAGAAACGACGTCAACAACGAGCGGAAAAACAAGAAGAAATGGTTGCGTTAATGGTTAGTAAAACCAAGTCTCAAGGAAAAAGACGCGGCAACACGCATGGTGGTAAGGATAATCAGTCGAAGAAACCTGCTGAATCTGCAATCGGAAAGGATAAAGAAAAATCTACGAAATATAGATGTTATAAATGTGGTGGAACAGGCCACTTTCGTAAGGACTGCTTGAGCAAAAAGGAAAAACGCAAGGATGACGACGAGGCATTTGTAAGTGAGGTATTGAATACTGAACTTGACGGTAATTCCTGGATTGTTGATTCTGGGGCGACGGATCATGTAACACATCATGGTGAGTGGTTTTCGTCATTTGAACCTTTTAAAGCGCCTGTTAAAATTCATATCGGTAACAAATCAACAATGGATGCACTCGGTAAAGGAATTGTTAAGTTTGAAGCCTCGATCAATGGAAAATGGTTATCTTGTCGTATGGAGAATGTTTTGTATGTACCGACTGCTCGTAGAAATCTGTTTTCTGTCACATCTGTTCTTGACAAAGGTATGTCATTCAATTCATCTAAAAATAGATGTGAATTTACAAAGAATGGTACTGTTAAAGCGCGAGGTGTTCGAGTTGGCCAGTTATTTAAAATGGAAATTCGCGTAAAGATACCTGAATCATTAGCTATCAAGGAAGTAAATCTATCATCAAAAGATTCATTACAGATTTGGCATGAGCGACTCGGACATCAAAATGTACGTCATGTGAAGAAGATTTTGGAAAAGCATGACATTCATTATGCGGACGATAGCCAGTTTTGTGGAGCTTGTGCTGAGGGGAAGCAACATCGCAATAGTTTTAAGGAACGTCAACAAAGAGCAACCGAACCAGGTGAGATTATTCATGCAGATCTCTGCGGCCCCATGGAATGCTCATCGTTAGGTGGAGCAAAGTACTTTGTGTG